TGCAATGTCATGTGACTGCACTGACTTACTATGATAGTTGTAACAGTTTGTGTTGTCTTTGTTAGGCAAATCCTACAAAGTAACAATATTCCGCTATCACCTGATCACCATTTGTAACTTCAGGCCCTCTTCCCTACTGATTTTGCTTGTCAGAAGCAGGGCAGTGAAGGTTACAAATAGCAATCATGTGACCCCTAGATACTCTTAACTATTGTAATTGCAAGCCATTTGCCAAGTAGTCAAATCATGATTACATGACAAATCATGATTACATGGGAGTCCCATCATTCAGTCCCATCATAACTTTGAATTGTAGAGTGGTCATTGAACAAAGACTGTTTTTTAAATGCTTTGTACTGCATAGAATATCAACATTGTATCTACAGAATACTGTACTTAAGAAAAAATGAAGAATTTTGAATAGCTCTCAAAGATGAGCCATCTTATCTTCATAGAAGATCTAAGTCTTATTACATATTCCTTGACTTTCTTATAGAGGTCACATGCACATTCAAAGAAGTGGGAAGAGAACTAAATACAAAGAAGCCCATCCCTAATAATTGAGAACATTCTGGATGTCTCTCAAAACTTGGTTATGTCATTTGGAAATGTAAGGAATGAAGAACTAAGGCAGTTCCATTGTATTGACTCTGTTTATCCTCTCTTAGTCTTCCATTACAATTTAAAAATTTTCTGAATTGTAATTTTTTAAAAAATAAAAATATATTTATTACTGTATTGCACGCTACCCAAAGTTACAGTTTTGTAAAATGGATGGCCTTATAATTTGGATGGATGGATGGCAGAAATACATTTAAACTCCATCTAAATGATCTCTGATGACATTCATTTCTGTGGATAAAAAACAAAATCCTGATGGGCTTTAATGGCCCGATTTTTATAAGCTTCAGTGGCCTTACACAAATGGTTTAACATCTGCGTTAGTTTTATATATCCTTCCTTCTATGCATAGTTTAAGCATCATACAGAGGTGGTATTCAGCAGGTTCTGACCAGTTCTGGAGAACCAGTAGCAGAAATTTTGAGTAGTTCGGAGAACCAGAAAATACCACCTCTGAATTGGTCCTGCCCCCATCTATTCTCTGCCTCCCGGGTCCCAGCTGGGCTGGGTCTTATTTTGTTGCTCTGCACAGAAGAACGGAGTGGAAAGCAGGTTAGTGGGGTGGGGAGTAGTCTCTCCCCAGAAGTGGGAAAGGAATGGAGATTTTCCAGTATCCTTCCTTTGCCACACCCACCAAGCCACACCCACAGAACCAGTAGTAAAAAATTTGAATCCTATAACTGGCATCATACCTACCGAGTTTCCCTGGAAATAAGCCCCAACCAGAAAATAAGCCCTAGCATGCTTTTTCAGGATGCTCATAATAAAGCTGTACCCCAAAAATAAGCCGCAGTTAAGATCATCAGCCCTTTGCATGGCCAGCACAGGTGGTGTGAGTACACAGGGGTTATCAGTGTCTGGCAGCAGCTACAGACTACCAGCTCTTATGGCTGTGCAGCCCATGCAGCACTGGTTGTCTGACTGCTCCCACCACCAGGCCAGCCTTCTAATCAGCAAGCAAAGACAGAGGGACAGAACAGGGAGAGAGCCCCAGGTGTCTCTTGGAGGTGGGGACTTCCCACCCTTCCCATTCACTGGAGTCATCTTAGGTGGGGCAGTGGGTGAGAGAATCATCCCGCATGTGTGAGAGAGCTAGAGGACAAAGTTGGATGGCGGGGCCTGAGTTCACAGGGACCACAGAGTGGCACCACTCTCACCCCACCACCTGCCTTATCTCTCCTCACTGTGGTGGTACCAGAAACAGAGGCATGGGGGAAGGCATGCAATCTGGCCCACTGAATGCAACGTATGACCACCTGCCCCATCACAGCCGCAGGCAAGCAGATGGTAGGATGGAGTGGATGGGTGGCTGTATGGATACATTCCCCCAAATGCCTGACAATTGTCCAATCTTATATCAAAATAAGATGTAATGCCCTTAATAAACCCTTAAGATTTTCATTTTTGCTTTAGGTTTCAATTTGCTGTCAGCCCAGAAAACTGTGGCCTAAGAAAACAGTATAAAACCATGGCTTCCAAATCATTATATCCATATTCTTTGTGAGTTTCCATCTTTCTTAGTTTCCTTATAAGTTTATGTCCACACAAATGAGAACATATTGTAATGTTTACAGTAACATATCTAATCTCTTACTAATTTTGTGAACGGACTATTTGGTATTCAGGTAAGGTACATGCAATTTAGATTTTTTTTATTGTTGTTTCAGTACTATGCAAATAATTGCCTCGACAATATTTAATTTTCCATGCATAGAACATATTCTGTTAAGATAATAGAACATTTTGTCTTCTTGTTTTCTCTAAATGATTATGTTGCAAATCAATTATTTTTATTGTTATTCTGAAACATTACTTGCTATGCACATTCTTAAATATTATGTTATCTGTTATTCTCTATTGCAATTTAGTGCTTATAATCTTGTAATTTTCGAGTAAAAATATAAAACCATTGTATCCATTATAATTTAGGACAATTTTTAGATATAATCTTGCCTGAAGAATATCTATAATCAAATAAAAATCTGATTATAGATTTAGAACAGTATTTTAAAAATAGTGCATGCTCTTTATTCATCTTTATTTTCTTGATACACGATATTTATATGACCTTTCTTAGTATTAGAAGTAATAAGGGAACTATTAGGGGAACCCATGACCACATGGCCTTACCAACTCTCTGAGACTTTTGCAAAATATTGACAGTCTGGTGGTTTCCCCAGGCATTTGAGTCAGGGCTTTATATGATCTACTCACGGTAGGTGGAGTTAACAGTTTAACCTTGGGCACCAGGGTTCTTATGTTAGCTGGAATTGTGAGCCAGAATCACTTGTGCCTATATAAATCTTATACTTTTCTATTTTTGTTGCCTGCTATGATGATTCCAACCTTATCTATTGTGAATGTGTGCAATCTGGGAGGCAGGGTGAAAATAGAGGTGAAGCTGAGCCCAGTCACATATATTTTTAAGTCACTGCTTTATTCATTTATTTAAAAAGTGGTATGGATTTATTAAAAAGTGTTATTCTCATGTACTGAGCATAGGCTGGCTCACAACTGCATTAATGTCTCTAGATAAATCCAGCCAAATGCATTAATGTCTCTAGATAAAGTCCTTACACTGATTAGGTACCATCAAGCAATCACATAGACTTTAAGGGAAATGCAACAGGGAATGGAATTTCAAGAATTTCTTGGGAGAAAGAAAGCATTGTAAGAGTAGATAATTTGAAAAAGAGACAATGGAACATAACAGAGAAGGGAGGAATTACTAAGAGGAATGGTAAAAAAATGATAGATAATGGGAGACTAGCTAGGAAGTGATTAATTAAAGCTTTAATGAGAGTAAGAGGCGATGGCTAAAAGGGAAAAAAGATTATGATTCTACATAAATGTGAAAAAAAATATGATTCCACATATTACTTAAAATATATGTTTGCTAACTGTAAACATGAAAATTAATATTTTATTGTGGGAAAAAAGATTTGGAATCTGATAAAAATAATATAATGAAATATAGCATAAGATAAAAGTAATATTACTACTAGAATTGTATAATTTGTGTAAAGAGGTTGAATATTATGTTGTTTGTATTAAAATGAGACTAGAAAGGGATTTTGCCTTAAATATAGTGGTAGAACCAAGAATCAAAAAGTGGATAATGAAAAATATAAATATTTATGAATGGTTATTAGAATTATATAATTTGTTAAACACTGCAAATATGACTATTAATATAGTATCTATAATAAAAGAAGTGATGTTAAGAATACGGAGATAGACAAAAATAACACTTGGTAATATTGAATAATTAAGATTGATAATTTAATAAAATTGTAAATATCAAATTAAATAAGAATGTTAATAGTATTAAAGATAAATTATTGTCATGTTTGTTCTAAAACGTAAACACTTTGCAATACACTGTTTACATAATGATATGTTTGTTGAAACAATAAAAAATGTATTTTTAAAAAATGAGAAAAGAACAATACAAAGAAAAAACTGTTTTCAAGATGAAATACCCACGGAGTCTCCACCCATTTCGTTGCTCTTTAAAAGCACATAATTTCCTTGCCCAGTTTTTCCCAAAAGCTTTTTAGTGCTACTATCAAACATATGCATGATGAATCTAGTGTTTATCTTCCATTGTTTGGGCTTCTCCTCCCTTAGCCTCTTCTTTGGTCTGCTTTTCCACTGTGCAACAGGAAGGCAAATGAAATTAAATGTAATTGTAAGTACATGGTTCTTTCTCATTGCTGTGTGTCCTTTGCAATTTAGCTATGCTTTTTCTTTCTAGATCCCACATTTAGATTTTGATTGCCCTGTAATGATATATTGGATAATTACTGTTACATGTATATCAACATCAGGAGCCAGAGAAATGATATTTAGAAAAAGGCTGCAAAGACTGAGAAAAAATATCCAAAACCAAAGAAAACCCATATTTTTAGTCTGAATTTCATATCCTCTCAATCTAAAGAAGATCATTGATTCTAGAATTTTGATCTGACTTCAACATATAAAACTGACAACAGTAATAGCATTCATATCTCCAACAATCTTTTCCAAGATTGTCTTTTGCTGTGAATGTTGAAAGATATCCAACACATCTAAAGGTCAACTAAAGGTCAAAGGCTAGTTAAGAAGATTGTCATCTTTCCATCTTTGAATATATGAAAAGGCCAATCACAGCCTTTTGAGATCTGAGCACATTTTCAATGGCAGGTATGCACTTGAACTGCAGTCCTGTGGAAATCTTGATAGATAATCAGTTTATTTATTTGTTTGTTTGTTTATTTAATCTGATTTGTCAATCACTTACAAGATAATAGGTATAAGAATAAAAATGAGCATGCATACAGGAATTAGGTATGAATAAATGGGGACAATAGGACAGGGATGGTAGGCACAATGTGCATATGCCGACTCCTTACAGACCTCTTAGGAATGGGGTGAGTAGATAGTTAAAGGATTGTGGGGGTTGAGGATGTAACAACAGAGTCAAGTTTGCAGGCATTGACCACTCTGTTGCTGAAGTCGTACTTTCTGCAATCAAGTTTGGAGAAGTTTACATTGAGTTTGCATCTGTTGTGTGTTCTTGTATTGTTGCTGTTGAAGCTGAAGTAATCATTTACTGATAGGACATTGTAGCAGATAATTTTGTGTACTACATTTAATTGTTCAGTTAACTTTTAGTGATTATAGTATATAGACAGATTTTTTTTCATGATGATATGTCCCGCACATCATCACTTTAATAGAGTCCAATGTCATTCTCTTTTCCTTTCCATATGTCTCAAAATTAATGAAAATTTTGCAGAGACAGAGGTCTTTGCATAATAAGATAACTCGATCCTGATCATTTGTATCTCAAATGAAAATTCAGATTGAATTGTTCATGAATCATTTGTGTGTTTTCTTGGATTGTTCACAACATTTGTCATCTCAAATACCAAAATTTCGCTCCCATAGAGTATATCACAAAAATACTATTGTTTGCACTATTCTATTCTTTGAAGATATACATTATAGCATCTGAATATTTTTCCAATGCCCACATGGATGCTGTACCGTACCATTCTCTAAAGTTATTTTTTGGGGGGAGGAGGAATTACATTCAAAATATAGTAGCTGTGCTACCACCAAATCTTGTGGGATTTTGGTGTTCTTCCCTGAAATCTTAGTAATTGTGTGAGACTTCTATCATTTTAAAAAATAATCATGAAATGATAATCAAGAATTTTCTGAAATATTTGATCCTACCTAACTGGAGGAAATAATTTCTTTATTCATTTTTAATGTTTCATCGAAATTACTTTAGAGAGAGACTGGAAAGGACTTCAATTTCCTGATTCAGAAATGTCATTGCAAGTTCTTGTATTTAATTATAATAACATGCTTTATATCAAATTCAAGTTCTTCTAACAATTAATATTGTCTCCAAACACTTTTACCAGCTTTATCGGCATGGTGACAGATCTCCTCTTTCAAGTTTTCCCCAAAATTCAGTCAAAGAAGATGCCTGGCCATGGGGATATGGACAACTGACAAAGGTTTGATAGATATTCTTAAAACGTTCATTAACCCAAGTACAGTATTATGTATTTTAATTCCATTTTCCATAGCTTCATTTGTGCAAGGCTGTTACTCAAATATTCAGCATTTATTGACTTATCTCATCCAAACTTCACGGCATAACTTTTTTAGGATGCAATAGATCTTTTAATTTGGTAGCAGGTCAAAAAATTTATTGCCTGTTTCAAGATATTTAACTACATATTATATTATTCTTAACACAGACTGGAATACAGCAGGCCTATAACCTTGGGCAGTGGTTAAAAGATAGATATAAGAACTTCTTAAGTCCTTCATACAAGCCAAAAGAGGTAAGAATGAGAAATAAACTTCTTTATTTCTTATATATCCAGTAATAACACTTTTTTTTGACATGAACTAAAAGTTAGTTAGCTCGTTTAGGGATACATAGGTCTAACAATCACAAAGATGAAAGGCTGTATTTGAAAGATACTGTCCAACATCAGTCTAACGGTTCTATACTTGTCTGAAATTGTAATTCCTAAGAGATACAGACAGTTTCCTTGTGATGATGTTTTCTTATTTCTTCTCACTTTCCTATCCCAATGGTAATTGTTGTGATGGCAGAAAAGAAAAAAAAAGTCCAATGGAACTGTCTACGGTCATTCTTTTTCCTACCATTTCTCTATGTTTCTTCCCATCTCTCCATTTTATTTCAGGGAACTTTAAAAAAATTTCTTCAAATTTTCTGCCATAGAAAGAGAGGGAGGGAGGGAGAGAATTGTATGTTCATCATTCTCTCAAATTCTTGTTTTTTCATTACTTGTAAAAGAATGTATGGGAATCAGATATTTGAGCTTTCATTTGAGGTTATCAAAGATAGAATTGAGATCCCTGACTGGATACCCTGTAAGACACTACTACACTGCTCAAAAAAATAAAGGGAACACAAAAATAAGACATCCTAGATCTGAATGAATGAAATATTCTTATTAAATACTTTATTCATTAAATAGTTGAATGTGCTGACAACAAAATCACACAAAAATTATTAATGGAAATCAAATTTAGCAACCCATGGAGGTCTGGATTTGGAGTTACACTCAAAATTAAAGTGGAAAAAAACACTACAAGCTGATCCAACTTTGATGCAATGTCCTTAAAACAAGTCAAAATGAGGCTCAGTAGTGTATGTGGCCTCCACATGCCTGTATGACCTCCCTACAATGCCTGGGCATGCTCCTGATGAGATGGCGGATGGTCTCCTGAGGGATCTCCTCCCACACCTGGACTAAAGCATTCCCCAACCCATGGACAGTCTGTGATGCAACATGGCATTGGTGGATGGAGGGAGGTATGATGTCCCAGATGTGCTCAATTGGATTCAGGTCTGGGGAACAGGCGGGCCAGTCATCAATGCCTTCATCTTGCAGGAACTGCTGACACACTCCAGCACATGAGGTCTAGCATTGCCTTGCATTAGGAGGAACCCAGGGCCAACCGCACCAGCATATGGTCTCACAAGGGGTCTGAGGATCTCATCTCGGTACCTAATGGCAGTCAGGCTACCTCTGGTGAGCACATGGAGGGCTGTGCGGACCCCTAAAGAAATGCCACCCCACACCATTACTGACCCACTGCCAAACCAGTCATGCTGGAGGATGTTGCAGGCAGCAGAACGTTCTCCACGGCGTCTTCAGACCCTGTCACATCTGTCACATGTGCTCAGTGTGAACCTGCTTTCATCTGTGAAGAGCACAGGGCGCCAGTGACAAATGTGCCAATCTTGGTGTTGTCTGGAAAATGCCAAACGTCCTGCATGCTGTTGGGCTGTAAGCACAACCCCCACCTGTGGACATCGGGCCCTCATACCACCATCATGGAGTCTGTTTCTGACCATTGGATCAACCACATGCACATTTGTGGCCCACTGGAAGTCATTTTGCAGGGCTCTGGCAGTGCTCCTCCTGTCCCTCCTTGCACAAAGGCAGAGGTAGCGCTCCTGATGCTGGGTTGTTGCCCTCCTACGGCTTCCTCCACGTCTCCTGATGTACTGGCCTGTCTCCTGGTAGTGCCTACATGCTCTGGACACTAAGCTGACGGATATAGCAAACCTTCTTGCCACAGCTCACATTGATGTGCCATCCTGGATGAGCTGTACTAACTGAGCCACTTGTGTGAGTTATAGACTCTGTCTCATGCTACCACTAGAGTGAAAGCACCGCCAGCATTCAAAAGTGACCAAACCATCAGCCAGAAAGCATAGGAACTGAGAAGTGGTCTGTGGTCACCACCTGCAGAACCACTCCTTTATTGGGGATGTCTTGCTAACTGCCTATGCTTTCCACCTGTTGTCTATTCCATTTGCATAACAGCATGTAAAATTGATTGTTAATCAGTGTTGCTACCTAAGTGGACAGTTTGATTTCACAGAAGTGTGATTGACTTGGAGTTACATTGTGTTGTTCAAGTTTTTTCCTTTATTTTTTTGAGCAGTGTATATCATACTGATGACTGTTAAAGACAAATATTTATTCATTCAAAGTTTATCAGTCTTTTTACTGGAATTCATATCATTCACATTAGCAATGTACATATCCACATATCATGGCAGGCCATGAATCAAGCAATGAGATAAGCAAATGCATAACATTTTAAAAAGCAGGGCTCACATGATGTAGAAGTTACAAAGAAGATCAGATTAGACAACCTTTTTTTTCCAGATTTATGTTCAAAGTACAGATTATGATCGAACCATAATGAGTGCTGAAGTAGTCCTGGCTGGTCTCTTTCCTCCTTCAGCCGAAGAAGAGTGGAACCCAGATATTCACTGGCAACCTATTCCAGTTCATACTATGCCTCTTTCAGAGGAAAAGGCAAGGAAGCATGTTATATTTTAACGTTCTCAGTGACTTTAAATAGTACCTTGTACCGTGTGATTCAGAATAGGCTATGATGGCAGAACATGTGAGTTACAATACCTGTGAATTGGTGCTATTTCAGATTGCAAGAAAGGTACAGATCCTTGAATATTCCTATATATAGAAAATCAGAATGCTGGAAGGAAAAGTAGCTTTGTCTCTTACCAGAGAATTACCCATAGAACAGCTTCCTCTGGAGATTTGTACTACCTCAAACCTGTTGACCTTTTGGAAGGTTTTTCAACCTTGCCTTTTTCCTAAGGACGACTCACCTGACTCGCTCCACCCATCTTGCCACAGCCCACCCACCACAGGACAATTCACCATGAGACAACTCAATGTGGGATAATTCAAAAGAGGGACAAGTGAATTGCAGGGGCCTTGTCTTTTTATAAGTTTGAGCCTTTTTAATTTAGAAGTCCTTGAGGCTGGGTGCAATTCATTTGTCCCTCTCTTGAGTTATTTAATTGTCCCACAGCTAGGCAGGATGAGTCAGTCAGATGAGCCAGCCAGGATGAGTCAGCTACAACAAGACAGCCATGGCGAGTCATGGGGTAAGTTAGCTGCAGTATCCTATTCCAGCTTTGGGGTGTTAACAGAGCACAGTCTGCATTTAGTCTGTATTTATTCAAGAGTTTTTAATCTAGTATCTCTATTGTTTTTATCATTGTTTAAAATATTTCCTTTTATACGTAATTTTATCTCATTACCATCAGACTTGACTGCAAGATGGGCAGCCATATACATTTGCATAATAAACACATCAAGAAAAATTGTGTGAATTTCTACCTTTATTTTTCAGTACTTTGGTGACTTCCGATAGTTGAATTGGTTTTTGCCAAGGAAGCTGAAGTCTGCCAGCTAGCAATGCATATGTTCACTGCATTTGTGTGTGTGTATGCAACCCCATGTTTTTCTAGACCATTATTCATTATGTTCATATATCATATATGAATCATATATGAATATGAATAGCTATATGTATGCATTCACATTTACATATAAACCAGCAGGCAGTGATATTCTGATTCTGATCAAAAATTTAGGGCATCAGGATTACTTTTAAATTGAACTACTCAGTCTAAAATAAAAATATTACAAGAGGCCCAGCTGACTCCCCAATAAAGAGGGTAATGACTATGCTTGAACAAGATTCCCTACAGCATAAGCATTTCTCACTTAACAAAACATCTATCTTATCCATGTAAACACCTAACTGCCTTGAACACAGATATTAAAAATAATCCCCAAAACAACAACCTGTTGCCAAGAGTTCAGTGGTTTCATACAATAATTTCCAAAGGAGAGGTAAATTCTAAAACATTTTTTGTCTATAAATGGGAGTAAAATAGCTGATTTTTAAAAAAATATTTTTAATGCCAAGAGTCAGAATGTATCTTCTGGCAGAACTCTGAAACAGTATGAATTACACACAATGCAGACATCTTTACAACTCCATATAATATATAATGTGAAAGGGAGATCTTGTGCCTTTACTAATAATGCAAATAACGCAATTAGGTTAGCTAGATGGACTATGAACATGAAAATGATTATATGGAGGCCATTCTAGTTATTTAATCATGATTCTTTTTTCATTTCTTCTTGTAGTTATTGATATATCCCAATTTTAAATGCTCATGTTTTAATGGATTACTACAACAGTTCAAACAAGAAATAAAATCCAAGAACATCTTGAAAAAACACATGGTAAGAAACAGAAACAAAAAAACCCCATGTTTCTTCTATTACCTTGAAAGGCATACTGTAAAAAATATGCTTAAATTGTTTTTAAGCTATTGTTGTCTAGAAGTACAAACTACACCAAAATAAGAAGTGAATGGAGTGACACAAAAGGAAAACAAAAATGTAGTTTCAGCTAGACAAAGTCAAGCTCCCTGTTCCATACTAGCAGGCTTGTAGACCTGCACTCCTATTGGTCCGGAAGAGCCGGGCCGTGATTGGACGATATAAGCATTCCTGATTGGTCCGTATGGGGTTTGCCGCGATTGGGTAAAACCAAGCGCGGCAAGCCCAAAAGGCTGTCATAGGCTGCCTAGCCGTAGCCAGCTCTATAAAAAGGGCTGCCGCGGCTAGGCTGTTTTGTCTCAGAATCTGCCTCCTTAATAAAGAGCTGTTGTTCACTACTTGAGTCTCGTCACTCAATGGGACCCGCTGACCATACTTAACACTGGCGACAAGTGTGAGATTCTGAGACAACAAGGTTGATTAGCACGTGGCAAACAGCGCTAAGACGACCAGCAAAATTGCCAGCAGCGCCACGCTGCCCGCACCATTCAACCCAGCCAGCGAGGACTGGGAGTCCTACATTGATCGCTTCCAAATGTTTTTGGAATCCAATAACTTAAAAGACGCTACCGGCAGCAAGAAGCGAGCAGTCTTCCTAACGCATTGCGGGCCCGCTGTTTTTAAAATGGCCAAGGCACTAGCGAAGCCCACAGACAATGGATTGGGACACCCTAGCTCCCATCCTCCGGAACCACTACGCTCCAGCTGTGCCAACGCTCATCTGAAGGCATGATTTCTATCAGCGAGACCAGCATGAGGGTGAGAGCATCGGTGAGTTCGTAGCCAACCTGAGGGACCTGGAGGGTCTGTGTGGATTCGCTAGCCTGGATGAGGCCATGCGTGACCAGGTCATCCTCAGCCTGAAAGACCCGACGCTTCAAAGCAGGTTAATGGCCAAAGGGGACATCTCCCTCACTGACACCATAGCCGAAGCCACCGCAGCCGAAGCCACCCATAAGTCAGCGGCACGAATGCGGCATTCAAACAGAACTGACCGCCATTCAACTGGCGAGACGACCACCGCAACAGAAAAACTCACAGCCTCCACCCACCATGGCGACATCGAATCCCCTTCTGACAGCGAAGAGGAAGAAATTCACAGACTTCAGTCAGATCGCGAACAGCAAGACCGGCGCGGTCGTAAGTCGAGGTACCAATGTGCCGGCTGCGGAGGAAATCACCCGCATTCCGAATGCAAATTCCTGGATGCTGTTTGCTGTTTTTGCGAGAAACGAGGGCATATCGCCAAAGTATGCCACAACAAAAGAAATTTCAGCCCCCGGCGTCGAGGAAACAGCCCAAGAAGACTAGATGGCACCCCCAGCAAAAACCAGGACCACCCGACTGACAACAGATGGAGCCGGGATAGCCGAACTAAGTTCATAGATGCACCAAGAAGGGAAGAAACTCACCAAACAGTTATCATTGGCCATGCTTCATCAATAGATGCACAGAAGATACATGTTGAGGTCGCCATCGAAAACCAACCATGCACCATGGAAGTAGACTCTGGCTCCTACCTCTCTATGGTATCTTGGCGGACCATAAAACGCCTGATACCCACCATACGCTGCAAAAAACTAAACGACCAGAAACTGATTTTAAGAGACTATCAAGGGAACCGCATCCCAGTCGCTGGTACAGGACACTTCAAGATTTCTTTTTTTTTTTTAAACAATTTTATTGGAATTTTTAACAAACAAAACAGACAAAACATAAAAGCATCAGCTCTCTTCCGTACTTATATACAAACAGTGTGTCGGTTGGTTGATCAGTTTTGTGCATTCATTTTGTAGTCTCAATTACAGTTATGTTACATAATAACTCTTATTATCAATCCAAACTTATATATCCTCATATCATTATTAAAAAAAATCATTTGACTATACTTTTATTCATTCATACTTTATGAGATAACTATAATTTAGGTAGTTTATTCTATAACAAATCATATAATCATACCAATTCTATCCTAAAAAAAAACACTTTATTGATGTAGCAAGAGAAAAAGAAAAAACAAAGATATTCCTTATTATCTAACATTCTAAATATTCTATTGTTGTATTTCATTGTCCAACCATTGATAGAAAAGGTCCCAAATTTTATAAAATTGTTTATCTTCTTGCTCTTTAATTTCAAATGTCAATCTACTCATCTCAGCACATTCCAATATTTTCTTAATAATTTCTTCCTGCAATGGAATTTTCTCATTTTTCCAATTTTTAGCAAATACAATCCTAGCCGCAGTTAATACATTTACAATCAAATATTTCAAGTCTTTACTATATACATCTGGTAGGATTCCCAATAAAAAGACCTCCGGTTTCAAATCTATGTGTTTCTTTGTCATTTTTTCCAACCACACACGGATTTTAGTCCAGTATTTTCTACCATCCTCACAAGTCCACCACATATGGTAATATGAACCAGGTATCTGATGACATTTCCAACATTTTTCAGATTTATTCTTGAACATTCTTGCTATCCTTGTCGGGGGAAAATGCCACCTGTAAAACATCTTATACAGATTTTCTTTATAAGCTGTAGACATTGTCATTTTATAATTTTGCAACCATAATTTCTGCCATTTATCTAAATCAATCCCATATCCAAAATTCCTCCCCCAAGCAATCGTAGTTTCTTTAACTTGTTCTTCCTCTAGCTTAATTCCCAATAAATAACCATATAGTTTTTTAATCACCTTTTCATCAGTACCTGTCAAAATCTTATCTAAATCAGTCTGTTTATCATAAAATCCCTCTGTTTTGGAATCTTCATCATACCTTGAGTGTATTTGCACATATGAAAACCAATTCATCTTTATACCTTGTTCCTCTAGATTTTGTATCGATTTAAGTTCACCCTTTTCATCTAATAATTCCCCATATCTAACTGTTTGTTCCTTCTTATAAATTATAGGATAAGAAAATGCTTCTATCGTCGATAACCAAACTGGAATTTTCAAATAACATTGTTTTTTTATCTTCTCCCAATTTAACCACAAAGACTCCCATATATAATGTCTTCGAAAATAGCCCTGTGTTTTGGTTCCCTTGTACCATAGAAAAGCATGCCAACCCAACAACAAATCATGACCTTCTAGTGTCAACAATCTGGTCTTCCTTAATGTTATCCATTCCTTAACCCACATCAAATTTGCAGCTTGGTAGTACAGCTCCCAATTAGGCAGGCCAAAACCTCCTCTAGTTCTTGCAAAAGCTTTAGCTTTCTCCTCGCTTTCTTACCCTGCCATATATACTTCAACACAATTTTATTTAAGTCCTCAAAATAGTCTTTCCCGAGCCTAATTGGTATTGTTTGAAACAAAAATAAGATTCTGGGTAAAATATTCATCTTGATTGTTGAAATCCTCCCTATTAATGACAGTTGTAAATTTTCCCATTTCTTCAAATCTAAGGCTATCTGTTGTTTAAGTTTAATATAATTATTCTCTTTTAATGTACTACATCTTGATGTCAAATATATCCCCAAATTCGTAACTTGGATTTTCAACAGATCCGTCAATTCTTCTCTTTGTCTTAGTAACATGTTCTTTGACAAAATCTTTGTTTTATCTTTATTTATTTTCAAACCAGCCACCTCACCATATGTCTCTATCTTTTCCAATAGCTTCAAAGCTGTTTCTACAGGATCTTCCAAAATAAAAACTAAGTCATCCGCAAAGGCAATTTAAATTCTTCCTTTTTAATTTTCATTCCTTTTATAGTTTTATCTTCTTTAATATTTCTGTTCAACACTTCCAGAGTCAATACAAATAGCAAAGGAGAAAGGGGACATCCTTGTCTTGTGCCTTTTCTTATGTTAATAGAGTCTGTAAATTCTCCCTCCATCATTACCTTTGCTGTTTGCTCATGGTAAATAGCTTCTATTGCTTAAATAAATCTTCTAGCAAAACCCATCTGTTCCAATAAGAGTAACATAAATCTCCAATTCACATTGTCAAATGCCTTTTGGGCATCTAAGAATATCAGAGCCATTTGCTTTTCAGGATGCGCCTCATAATATTCCAAAGTGTCCAGAATTACTCTCATATTGTCTCTAATTTGTCTCTTTGGCAGAAATCCATTTTGATCTGGATGGATAAAATTATTCAAATATTTTTTAAGTCTTTCTGCTAATATGGAAGCAAAAATTTTATAGTCTGCATTTAATAAAGAAATCGGTCTATAGTTCTTAATTTGCAGTGGATCAGCCTCCTCTTTTGGAATAAGTGTAATATAAGCCTCTGACCATGTTTTAGGTATCGTCTTCTTTGACATAGCTTCATTCATAACTTCTAACAGTGGAATGCTCAATGATTCTTGTAATATTTTATAGAATTCTGCAGGCAGCCCATCTGGACCTAGTGCTTTCCCATTATTTTGTTTCTTAAGTGCTTGGCTTAATTCCATCATTGTTATATTACTTTCTAACATTTCTTCCGTCTCTTTGGATATCTTAGGTAAATTTGCATTCTGCAAGTACTGTTTGACTTTTTCCTCATCAATATTCTCTTTCTTGTATAGTTGTCCATAGAAACCTTGGATAATTTCCTTTTTCTCCTTATTGCCATAACAAACTTGACCTTGGTCATCTATTAACTGCGATATTTTCCTCAACTCTTTCTCCTTTCTCAGCTTATATGCTAGCCATCTACCTGGCTTATTTGCATCTTCAAAGTAATTCTGTTTAGCATTCCTAATTTTCTGTGCCAATTCTTCTTTTTCTATTAAGTCCATTTTATGTTTAGTTATGTCCAGTTTCAGTTTAATATCTTTTTTCTGTGGCATTTTCTGTAGTTCTTTTTCAAGTCTTTTATACTCATCTTCCAAGGCTTGCCTTTTCCTAATATTCTTTTTTCTTATGTAGTCTATTATCAAGCCTCTAGCATATGCCTTCAT